TATATATATATATATAAACATCAACGTCCTTGTATATATATTGAAATGATTAAAAATATAGTAAGTATTTGTGTAATTTTACAAAAATAAAATCATAAATAATTATTGTATAATTAATATTTACAGTTTTTTAAAAACTCATACCGAAGTGTCTACATTCACATTTCACAAAATAAAAAATAATTAGTCAGACATTGCAATTCAAAATTTAAAACTAATACTTAATAATATAACATTCATAACAATTATTTTCTATAATATATTATAACTTTAGTTAATGTTTTGATAACTTAATTTATTTTTTTTAGGTTCAATTAATGGTCCTCTTATTTTTAAAAGGTTTGATTATTGATATTTATTTATTTATTTATTAAGTTAAATTTAGTAAGTCTTTAATTTTTTAAAATAAGTTAATTTAGTTCTAATTTTTTTCCTGGTAGCTTCAAAAGTAAGAATAAATTTAATTTTAAAATGAATCTTGTTGAATACATTTTAAAAAAATAAAAATTTAATTGATACTTTTTCAAATAAAGTTATGAAATTGAACCTAAGAAAAAAAAATAGAAGAATGAAAATAAATTTTTGAAAAATAAAAACCAATATTATAATTAAACTTATTCATGAGGACATGACCAAGGTCAAGGAGCATAAAATACTTGAAGGACTTGGAGGACCTATGACAAGAGCGAGGACGAGGAATGTCAAGGAAGCTACACAACAAGTGTTGGCAACAACTATTAAATTAGGACCATGTCTTGAAGATGCAAACCATAAATTGTACAATTACATCATGATTAAAGGAGATGATGCATGACTTTAATTGAAAAGTGGGTGTCATAAATTCAACTCAAGGATGGGAGCTTACTTGCTGAATGGTACGACCAGTAGGGCTGGCCAAAATTAAATGAATTAAACTAAACTATTAAATAACTGAATTATTTTAAACTAAAAAAACTATAACTATTTAAGATAAAATTGAATTAAACTATTTTTTAGTTCAGTTTTTAAAAATTGAACTTATTAAGTTACAGTTTAGTTTACTCTAATTAACTAAAAATATAAAATAAAAGCACAGACACGGGCCACGACATGGCACGGTTTCAATTTGTAAATGCAGAAATGTGGGTCTTCACATATTAGGTCTTCACATTCCAGCCACAACCAAGGTTTCTAAATCATAAATCGTAAGCCTCTTCACATTCTAGCAAGCCACGGGCCCACGGCACGGGTTCCTGATTCAACAGAATCAACACTCCTTCCTCACTCACAGGCAACCACAGATTCCTCCTTCCTCATGCACCAAGTCACCAACCACAGATTCTTTCTTCTTAGATAAAAAAATAGTTTAGTTCAGTTTAATAGAATAAAAAATAGTTCAGTTCAGTTTTGTGATTTAATTTTCAATTCAGTTCAGTTTAATTGAACTATTTTTCAGTTTAATACAGTTTTTAACAGTTCAGTTTAGTGCAATTTAATTTGCCCACCCCTAACGGCCAGAGTGTTTTAATTATTTTTGGCTGAGTTTTAAACATAAATTGGGTTGTTACATTGTACTAAAATATGGGGCCAGATTGCTTAAAGTTTGTAGGCTAAACATTATTATTTTGGGGGCAGTTACATATTGGTTTTAATTTGGTTATTATTAGGGATTTTACCTTGTAATAATTCTGAATGCTAAGGGACAAGAGAATAGCACGTGGCTGAATGTATCAGCCCATATATTGTGTGCATAGGCTTCAAGAGATCAGAATATCAATTTGTGAAAAATATAGCTCTTGTGAGTTCATTTTCCTAAGTGTTTATCCTATCAAGAATTGAGTTTTATCAAAGGTCTTTCATCTCTTTGTGCTTAGGGCTTGTCTTCCATCTTTGGAAGTGTGATGCCCTTTCCTTTCTATTATTTGTCATTTTTTCTTTTCACATATTTCTGTCCAATTCTCCAAGTATGAGTGTTGATTTGAGATTAAATTCTACACCTAAAATTGTTACCTATCATTTTCTCTATGTATCTTCTAAATTTTGTTCACTTTACATTTGATAAATTGTGTCTTCTTTGGTTAATTTTCTTCAAGACAGCAACGACAATTTCCTAAATATCCAGAATCCTAATAACTTTCAAGAGGATTCATATCACTTATATTATATAATAATTTATATTTATATTTATGTAACATACACCCTGAATAGTAAAAAGAAAAAGAAAAAGAAATAATAAATTCCAACCACGAAATGTTAACCCATTCTAGACAACCTACGAATTTCTCATTTGAAGAAAATAGAACCCTTAGTGCACCTTCCAGCCCCGGAAGCCCCGTTGCCTTCGTTCATCCAACGTTCGCCAGCCTATAGCCTTCGTCCTTCCAACATTCGTCTTCTTTTTTCTCTGCCTCAGCCCTGTGCTCGCGTGTTTGGCCGTTGCATAACAATGTCGCACTGCCAGTCCACCGTCCCTATCAGCTATGCACAAAAAGGGTTCATTCTTACTGTTTAATAGTACTGCATATTACTAATATTAACCAAAAAATAAAATTGCAACTCAAAGGATAGTAGCAATAGCAATTTAGCATAATCCTTATGGCTATGCCTTGTCTATGAATTATGGAGTTGAGAATTTTATAAGATAGTGTGACACTGAGTGATACTAGTAAAAGCAAAATTTCTATTTCCATTGAAAAATCTAAGGCTAAAATTAATGACATTCTTTTTCAAAGCTGTTAATAAAGTGAAATACACGGACTCACTCTAAAATACTTTGGCTTTGGCATGTGAAGAAAAAGTGATGGGGTTGAAAGTGAAAAAGGTTGAAAAGTTTAGGGGTTGACGACAAAAGTTTAGGATTTATATGAGCAGTGGTGACAAATTTTTGTGTCACTTTTGTTGACCATGACTTTTTGAGAGTCCAATTTATGGTCTTTAAATTTGGGTTTGAGCATTGGAATTTTTCCGTGAGCATATATATATATATATATATATATATATATTAAGTTGCTATAAATGGATAAAATGTGGAAAGTGCTTTTTATTAAAATGTTCTTTGCTATAAATGTACAAATTCATCACGAGTTCAATATAAATGATGTATTGATACATGTTCCATTAAAATGAAAAGCAAGAAATATAATGAAATTTACAAAAAAAACCAAGAGTTAAATAAAGAATAGAGTACAAAACATTAAACAAATAATGTATTGAATTTGTGATTGTGAATAATTGATGCCTAACAAAATGACGATGTGTACCTTGGGCTTCTAACCAACAACAATTTCTATATTTTGTTATAGTGAAATGCAGTGCAGAACTTTTCTCCTAATCTTTAGCTTTTTCTCTTCAATGTTTTCCCTCCTTTTTGTCCTTTTCTTTTTCTGATACTTGTAAGTGGCATTTATGGCCAGAAGTATATCCTTGTATTTCACATTTGTAATAAAAGATATCTCATTATCAATCTTCCATTTTTATGTCACCATCTAATCACATAATCTCTTCAGTCACATATATTTGACCATGTCAACCTATTATATCTTCTCTCATTTAACTGACTAATCTCCCCTATATTTTGATTCTATTTTTTTCTTTTTTCTTTTTAAATTCAAAATATTCTTACATAAAAATCTAGTTATTCACCATGATTCTATTTGTTTTCTTTTTTCTTTTTAAATTCAAAATATTCTTAGATAAAAATCTAGTTATTCACAATAGTAAGGTAGAACTTATTGTGCAATACGAGTTAACTCGCTAGATCAATAAAAGCAACAAAAATGTTGCTTTGATTGGAACCAACATGACATTCAACTAAATGGGAGATAAGGATTAATCCAAACAAATGGTTATAGCTTCCAAGGACATAAGAATGTCTATTTAGATATTTAAATGGAAACCAAGGTTACCCGTTGTTAAGAATTAAAGTGTATCTTATTTCCATTTCATTTAGTACCGACTCTCCCTTTATTTCATTTTACTTGTTATTTATTTATTTATTTCTCTATATAGAGCGTATGAAATCTCCATTCAACCATGCTGAAAACAGATCTACAAAATGCAAAAATAATCTTCTCACACTCTTATCTTTTTTTTACTTGAATTGAAGCTTATAAGCTATATTTAATTACACGTTTGCATCTTTGAACCTCCATTAGTTAATCTCAAACACAACATCTAAATGTGTGAGAAAATAAAATTTTCGATTCGTCGAACACTAATCGCAAATAACCTTCAATGAGTCAAAAGCAAGAAAAGTGTTGCTTTATTTTGAAACCTAATTTATATAAGTTAGTTAAATTCAACTCAACTAACTTTCGAACTATAATTCACACACACACACATGTGCTTCACATGTGTACATATACTATAAGCCGGTGTCGGGTAACATGAAGTAGCTGACTAAGTGAATGTTGAATAACAGCATAAAGGCACTGATATTGTGAAAATAAGGATGAAGTGAGATAAATTGAGTAGCCAAAGCCAACAAGGCAAAGCATTGTTTGTTGAGTACATGGAAGTGGAAAATAAGCATTAATGTGGAAGCTTAGGTGTTGAGAGTGGAAGATCAAGAAATGAAATACATGGGATTGGGAAGCTTGAAAGTGCGTTTGCCCAAACACTCTCCCTGAAGATCGCTCCATTGGTCTCCAACATTTCCCCATATCCTATACCCTTCTCCTTCTATCGCCTTCCGAATCGCTGATTTGTATCTCACAGCACTTTGCCCTTTGTATTCGGGACTCCTACAACGAATTAATTAATTAATTAATTAAGCATCCATAACCAATTCTCCCTTATGCTAATAAAATTTGAATCTAATTGTTGACTTTTACCCCATGCCATGATTAGTCAACCATTGCATAATTGACCCAAGACAAGACGATCATGCATTTTATGATTAAAAATATCATAAGAGGTGGTCAAACGAGACTTTTCCAACGAAAAAGTGATTTGTGTCTGTTGTTTGTTTGGCTTTGGTTGTCTCCATATCAAGACGAATTGTAAATAAAGTGGAACCTTTCAAACTCTATATTAATTTTGCATGCACGGACGCTGACTAAGACACCATACGGAAGCAAGCAATTTTTTTGCATTGTCAGCATGGCAGTGTTGGTATAGTACAACCAAGAAAAAAGTTTTAGTTGACCCAGTCATTCTATTGCCCCGCCTTTTTTTTTTTTTCTCATTCAAACAATCAAATCTAATAACATTATTTCGCAATATCAGTTATGAACAATTGCTCATTTTTAATTTTATTTTATTTGAAAAGTATAGTACTAACTAACCTGTGAATGTTCAACTATTTTTTTCTTCTCTTTTACATGAAAAAATAGACGTACAATTAACTTTTTACTTTTCTAACTAACTCCCGCTACCTTTGCAACAGGACGCACGAGGTATTGACAATTACGCCGACAATTGAGGACCTTGAGAGTTGAGGGTTTGGGTTGTTAAAGACTTAAAGAGAACAAGTAATACATTTTATTACTTTTTATTTACTGCTATGTTTTGGTAGTTATTTAAAAGACTTAAGCCTTTCAATAGACCAACATATATACAATCTTAAAACATTAGTAAAAATAAAAATGATACTCTTAATATATTTACTTGAATAAATTGATCTTTTAAATTTAAAGACTTTGATATAAAAATTTTAACTAAAAGGTTTATTTTTTTTGAAAAAAAATAATCTAACTTATTTAATAAATATTTAAGCCTGTTACCTTAAACTATAATTCTAATAAATAGACTGCACTATTCGCATTCCTAAATGCATGGTCCAAAATTAGTGGGTGGACATTGCACACGCACTTAGAAACAAAATATTAAGTTTAATACATCTAAACGGTTTTCATTCCTAATGGGATGACAAACACTTGAATATAATATTTTTGGTGTCATCATAAGTGTCGTTAATTACTTGTTTAGTTCATTATACCACTTGTAGAATTAATTTTATTTATTTATTTGCAGGAGCACAAAAGTTATGCAATTTCTTATGAAAGATTTTTAATTTTCTGACCTCATTTTCGCATTCTTATTTTAAGTAGTGGAAGTATATGTGGGATTAATTATATGAAAGAAGGCAATTGGAAGAGTCTAATTAAGTCATCCAATGTAAAAGAATCCAATGGCAGTTGAAAAACTGGACGTAGAAATGCATGATTTCTGCACATTTTCCATGTCCTTTTTCTTACTCAGACAATATTGCATTATTAATTGAATGAAGTTTCATGTATCCACTACCCCTAAATATCAGAAAATAAAGACTAGGAAAATGCCAAATGCTTCGGACAATGGACTTAGTCAACAAGCAGGCATGTTTTCTCTACTCCTGATTATGCTATAAAATGAATATTGGTACTTACATATTATATGTTCTTATATTATATGTACGTGTGTGGTGAATTTAAATTACATGAAATATTTTTTCTTTCAAGCAAAAATATAAAAGGTGTATTTATTTAAAATTTTGACGAATTAATAGTATATTCTAAATTAAATAAAAAATATTTTTACTTATTTTAAAACAAAATCACTTTATTATAAGTTAATTATTTTTGCTTTACAGTTCAATATTATACTCAGATAAATAGGTACCTAACTCCACTTATTTTATTAGTTGCCGACTTTATGTGCGTGCACCATGTAACGAAGAATTATAAATAATTTAGTTAGACCAACACAAAACAATTTGGTAAACATTTTTTTATATAATTCTATATGAATATCTAGTTTATGGTCTGTAAATTATTCAAGTATATATATTTATATACTTCATTTTATTCAAAAAAAACACTGTGTAAATTCGTGGCAAAACATTATTCACATAGACGAATAACCTATAGTAGTTATGAAACGTAATGCTATTCGCATAAATCACTGACCAATTAAGTTGTTTCGTAAGTTTTATTCATTATAAACTGGAATATAATTTTAAGGAGGGAGATTTAATATCAAGAATTAAAAATTATAAAGAAAAAGTAGTATAAAAATTAAAATATGAGAATGAAAATTATAGTAAAGTCTTAATAAAATTTGAAATGGAATGCATGTTGTCGAAAAAAGTTTGACTGATCAACATGTAAATTAATAATGGGTGGATAGAGACGAAAGGAATACAGGAGTGCTTCTAGGAAGTTACGCAAGGTCAACAAATAATTGGAATCCGCATCATACCATCAATTACACCACCTGTTTTATCTTCTATCTTTGCTCATTACCGACCTATATTTATTTTAGGTGTAAATCTATATTTGTTTAATAATTTATAGATAATTTTAAAATTATTTTATATGTAAATTTAAATTAATAAAATAAAATATTAAATAAGTTTTAAATTTTTTAAAAATTTATAGATTTAACTTATATGTATTAAAAAAATTTAACTCAATTATTTATCATTAAAATTTAATATAAAATATCAGTTATTAAATAAAGTAAGTTTAATTAAATTTATTCTTAAAATTTTAAATTTATAAATAATCCTAAAATTATTTTACAGATTTCACTTATATTAAAAATTTTAAATTTAATAATTTTATCATTATATAAAACATGTTTTATTAAATTAAATAGAGTAAATTTAGTTAAACTTATTTTTAAAATAAATAAAAAATTTATTAAAGTTTATATATATTCCATTTTTATTAAATTTCCAAAATAATAATATATTATAATTTTAATATTTTTATTATTTTTTAAATTAAAAAATGTTTATTAAAATAATAATAATAATATCTGCTAGTGAGACATTAATTAGTTGGATCCATTACAATTTGATACAGATCATGTCTATCTCACATAATGAACAGACTCCAGATTAAAAAGAATAATTCTGTGTTTGATGCGTGTGAAATTCTAACTGTTATCTGAGCATTCCAAAGATGCTCTTTCGTCTTAACCATTATAGGTTTTTCTTATTTTAAGTATAGCAGTCCCTATCAGCTGCCTAATGAAGTTTTGTGGGACAAATTAACCAGAACCATAGGTGGTACCTAAGAAGATAAAAGTATAGCAATAATAGCATGAAAACTATAGGTTTAAAAAATGTGCGTAATTACCTCAGAATAAGACGTTCATAGCCTACGAATCCTTCGTTATGCAAGTTGTCAGTAGTGATTTTAGCAAGAGATTCGTCTCTACCTGTTAGCAAGAACACTTTGAATCCTCTCGCTATCAACGCGTTAAACAATACTTTCACGGCAACATTTGCGGGACACATTCCTTTCATAATCCACGCTTTAAATATGGCTGAGTCAAATGGGTCGCACCTGCACAAATATTAAGGTCCTGTTAGTTTTTCCTTTCATGGAAGATAACTTTCTATTTTTTTTTTTTTTATCATGTGTCAAATGACGTATAATTATAACTATACACAAACAACATGAAGCAGGTAAGATAATTTCATGTCTTACCAAATAATTTTTTGCTTTCATTTAGTTAATAAAACAACCACGTATTAAAATATTAATCCATGTGAAACTCAATTATTTTTAGTTACCCGAATCGCTTTGCTTTGTAATAAGAAACGTTGGAGATGCAAGTGTCATCAACATCGAGAACCCAAGCATCCATGGCATCGGAAGAAAGAGGGAGGTCGGAGGCATAGAGCAAGATGTGTTCAACGATGAGGTTAAGGTCACGGTAGTATTGTCCAGAAGACATGTAGTTCTGAACGTGGGTGTGGCACTTAGGTGGGACAGTTCGCCACGGACGCACATTGTTGGATTCAACGGCCAGCCTCCAACTCAGTGCGTACCTCTCATTAGCCTCCCACTCCGACTCCTCCCACTCCGACTCCTCATCACGCTGAGGCTGAGGCTGAGGCTGAACCTTCTCTTTCTCCTTATGGCTCAGCAACACTTTGGGGAATAAGGCTAGCAAGTACGTGAGTCCCGCAACTATTAGTTGCACAATTTTTATCTTCAACATCATGGTGTGTGTGAAAGGGAAGCAAAGTTATTAGGGGGAGGAAGAAGGTACGTGGTGGTTAGTTGGCATTAGCTTAGCTAGGCCCACGAGAATTGGATGGTGAAGGATGGGCAAAGAATGACCTGGGCTGTGGGACTTTTAATCACAAAATTTCTGGACCCCACTCGAAGCTTCATCGAAACTAAAGCGAAAACCTCATTCTCCTTCCGCTACCATAGTCACTTCCGTATTTCCACAAGACCTGTCATTTTTAACACATTTATCTGCTCTAGATATATTGCATTGTGTTTGTGTATACCAGTTGGAAAAATCACACTCTGGTTTTTTTTTTTATTAAAATAAAAATAAATAAATAGCAATAAGCAATTATTAAAAGGTACTTCTTGTGTGCACAATTGTTTTTAATTTTCCTTAATTTTATGGTTAAGAGAAGTGTAGATAGAAAAAGATTGAAAAATTATTAAAAGGTATATATGTCTAATGGATAGGACCGAGGATTTTCGCAACTAAAATCACGATGGTAATGACGCAAAAATATATTTTTATGAAGTCGTCATCAATATTTTATTTTGAGGAAAAAATATTGAAAAATCTTTTAAAAAATGTGGTCATTGGAAATAAAGTTGGATTCAGAAGTCACTTACGTGTAAAGAAGATATCAACTCCCTTAAAACGCCTCTTAAACAGTACTTTTAATTAATTATGCAAAATTATATAAATTTATAAATATTTATTTTATCCCTAAGAAAATGTATTTATTATTTTTTTTAATGTGAAATAGGCTTCTTTTGTATTTTTATTTAAAAAAAAAGATTGGATAAGAAATTAAACTAACAAAAGGTTAGTTATTAAACTCTTAAAATTTGATAAAATTAAAGATAGAACTTGCTATTCAAATAATATTATTCAATAATTATTATTGTTAATTTTTCGTAAAAAGATAACTTTTGTTTTACTTTATGCGTAAAAGCTTATAATAGCAGGTAACTATCTATAAACTTTCATGACTTACAATATTAAAGATATTAAAGGTAAGAGTGCTACTCAATTAATATCGCAAATCATTGCACCAGTTAAAATAATTTATACATGGAATATACTCTTTAATATTTTTTAATTAAAGAAACAAAATTTTTTATAAATATTTTGATTTAGCAAATGACTAATCAATAAACCGTTACAATAATATTAAAGATAGAATTGATATTCAGTTAATGTTATTAATATTTATTCTTTGATATTATATTAAAATAAAACTTTCATATTCGTACATTTTTACTTTATTAAAAAAAAGAATTTAAGTTAGCAAAATTAATAAATCCTTACAATAACATTAAAGATAGAATTGTTTTTCAGTTAATGTTATTGATATTATATTAAAATAAAACGTTCATATTTGTACATTTTTATTTTATTAAAAGAAATTTACACAAGAATTTAAGTTAGCAAATGACTAATCAATAAATCCTTGCAATAACATTAAATATAGAATTGTTATTCAATTAATGTTATTAATAACTGTTTTTATTTTATGAAATGATAATTTTTTACTTTACCTCATGCATAAAAGGTTATGATAGCAAATAACTATTCTATAAACTTTTATGATTTACATGATATTAAAGGTAGAATTGTTACTCAATTAATATCATTAACCATTAAAAATAACTTATGTGAAAGAGAATTATTTTCATATTTTTTATCTAGAGAAATAGATTTTGCATAAGGATTAAGTTTGCAGATGACTAGTTATTACTCTTACAATTAAATAACGTCATAGATAAAAGTGTTATTCAATTGACGTTATTAACGATCACATATTAAAGTAAATTTTAAAGAATAGTTTTTTCAAGAAAATAATTTACTTTAAACATAAAAAATTCATGATAGCAAACGACTATTCTGTTGGTCCTAGTTTACTAGAATCTAGAAGAGGGTTGAATAGATTCTATCCTAAGATGACTCACTTTTTAAAAAATCTTGATAAAGATCTATCAAGATATCTAAAATTCAACCTTTACTCGATTTGAATTAACAAAAAATAGTAGATTACAAGGTTTATTACCAACGTATCAGAATATCAAAGTTAATGTAGCAAAACAATCACTTGTAACCAAGGTTGTTTTTATATTACCTTCTTTTTAATCAATTTCAACAAAGATCAGAGTTAGTGCTACAATCGAAATTTCATATCTTAGAAATATTTAAAACCTTTAAAAAAGAAATTTAAAATATTCTTAAAGATAAAGGTAAGAAGATAAAGAACACAAAAATTTATATTGGTTCAGTCATCCACTTGGCCTACATCCAGTTTTCCCTGATTTAGCACCCCACTAAATCAAAGCACCCCACTAAATCAAAGAACATTTACTATAATATTGTTTACAAACACCTTGCACACACAATATTACAAGAATTCAAACAAACATCAATCTTGATACCACAAGATTGAAAACAAACAAAATTTCTATACCCACAAAAATTACTGGAGAAACCCTACTCGAGATTTCAACATCTCTTGTTGAGACACCCTATCTCAAGAGATATACCAATCAAAACGAAAATACAAGTTTAAAGATCAGAAAGATGACACCTAATTTCATGTAGATATTGATCTTTCACTTTTGAATACACTTCTTGAATTTCTTCCTTAAAGAACTCATGTTCTATCTTTGCACTTCTTGAAATTTCAGAAAAATTCTTTGATAAGCCTTGAATCTTGTTTCTGAAAGTAATTTTTTTCTCAAATGTTTCTCTTTCAAAAGATTTTCTAAAGTTCTCTTTTAATTTCAAAAAAGATAGATTTTATAAAGTGCAAGATGTGATTTAGTTATAAAGAGTAATAACAGAGGTAATCTATTACCTGATATGGTAATTTGTTACCAACTCTTTAAAATTGAACCAGAAACATAAAATCACCAGGGTAATCGATTACAGGATATGGTAATTGATTATCCTAAGCTTTCTAGGATCCATGATTGCCTTTCATTTTGTGGTAATCAATTATCTCAAGTGGTAATCGATTAACCCATTGAAAACTTTGATTCTTCAGCCTTATTTCAAGAAAAAGAGTCTGTTTTAATCTATTACTAATTAACTTTGGTAATCAGTTACCTCAAATAGTACTTGAAAAACATTTTCTAGTAACAGACGTGGTAATCTATTAACACAGAGAACATTTGAATATCCTTTTCTAATAACAGATTTGGTAATCTATTACCTTGAATATGGTAATTGATTAACAATATTACCTTGAAAACTCTTGTTTGAATTAAGTCATATTTCTATGTTTAAACACTTGGTAGTAAATTACCCTTTTCAAGATAATCTATTACTTTATGTTTACTCATGAAAATACTAAAAAATCAAATTCTTGGTTTTTTAAAAAACTTGATTAGTTCTTGAATTAAACATTCATTATCACCAATCAATCATAAACAAACACACACATAAGCCTATATATATTACAATCAATGCAATATCCTTTTGCATAGGCTCAAACACCATCTATACATTAACATCATCAAAACTAAAACTTCTTGAGGAGTCTTAAAGTCATCTCAATGATCTCCATTATCTCAAAATATTCTATAAATTCTTATGATTCACGTGATATTAAAGGTAGATATGCTAATCATAACATCACAAACCATTGCATAGAAGAAGATAATTTATATATGAAATAAACCTCTTTTATTATTTAAAAAAAATAGAAAACTTGTATAAGAATTTAAGTTAACAAATGGCTAATTATTAAACTCTCAAACAAATAGTGTCAACAGTAAAATGTCATTTAATTGATACTATGTATTGTTGTCCATTTGAATAACTTTTAAAGAAGCTTTCATGTACTAAAAAAATTTAATTTATACATGGTTTATGGTAACAAATGGTTTTGTAGAGGCTAAAGGGATCTTAATAGTCAAATTATTACTTGTTTAATATCATGAATGTAACATCCCAATTTTCATAAATTATATTAAGGTATTTTAGAAACTATTTTGATACTTAAATGTATTTTATAAATATTGTAGACACCTAATTTTGTCCGGGCATACAAACAAAGAAATGAACTTCTATTATCAAATAAAGGAGCTCCCAAAGCCTAGGAAAACAACATGATATGACATCAGAAGGCTTAAAGCCCAATAAGGGTGATTTAGTAGCCTAGAACGGGCCGTTTCCAAACTGGAACGAGTCGTTCCAAACTACTAAAATGGCATATAAGCCCTAGATTGGAATGGTTCGTTCCAACACAGGCTGTTATGAGTAAAATTTGAATCCAAAACGGGCCGTTCCACTTTGAGAACAGGACGTTCCAGATTCACATTTTACCCATAACAGAATTATCCAGAATGGGCCGTTCTGAATCCGGAACAGACCATTCTGGTCAATTTTGACACTTATAAATAGCATTGGGTTTGTTTGTTGATTTAGGTGTTGATATTCCAATTCTTTATATTCAAAGATAACAATTAACTTCTAGTTATAATATAAAGTTATGATATTAATATCTTCAATAAAAACTAAAACTGCATTGTATATGTATTACTATTACATTAAAACAAAAAGTTATATATGTTGTTAGTTTATTAATAGATAATTTAATAAAGATAAATATTATCATAAGAAATTTAATTTAATAAAAAAATGTAACTTCTAGTGTTCTTTTTACAAAATAAGCTATTATAAATTCTATAGGAGTTTGTTGATTAATTGTATTGGATTATTGCAATGACTGATTGATTTGTATTGAATTGTATTGTATTGAATTGTATTAAACCATATAAGAGTATTTTTCATAGATTGATTTGGTCATTGAAAATATATATTATTGTTAAATACTTGCTTGTTCTCATAGACTTTCTGAGATGTTTCTTTGGTTATTAATTAATATATATGGTTGTTAATAGAGGATGGTGAAATGGAGTCCTGAGCATGAAAGTAATATCAAAAAAAATTTCAATGCAAAAGCTTCTCATAGATTTTCTGAGATGTTTATGGATGCCCGAAAGAAAAATAAGAAACCAGATTGGATTGGAGATCGTGTGTGGAACTCTTTATTAGAACATTGGAATGTACCTACATATCGTACAAAGTGTACACAAGCACAAAAAAATAGAGCATCTGAAAAGGGTGGAAGTATGCACACATGTGGCTCCATTAGCATGAATGAACATGCCATTCGCATGGTATGTTTATATTTTAGTCTTCATTCTTCTAATGCTTAATTTTATATGTTAAATTTTGATTTATATAATGTTTTTATTTGTAGGAAAAGGAGCTTGGTCGACCTGTACACCATGATGAACTCTTTCAGCAAACTCATATACGAAAAGACACTGGTCAGTTTGTTGATGATAGATCTAGGCGGACACATGTGAGTCTATGTTACTTATTTTATTGGTCTTTAATTTTATTAATGTTTACACTATTTTTACGTACTGTTTATGATGATAATAGGAAGATTTTGAAGCTAGATTTTCTCAAGCTATATCTGAGGTTGGATCCACTGCTGGCACCTCAGAATGCACCCCTTTAGACCCTGTTGAGGAGGATAGACTTAGGAGTCAATGTTGGAATGCAGCTATCGGTAAAAAATACAAGGGACGTCGTTATGGTACGGGAGATCTTTATGAGAATGAACATAGCAGCTTTGTGGGGACATCTTCAAGTCAGTCTCAGAATACACAAGAGATTTCTCAGTTGACACAACGAGTTTTAGCTAATGAGGAAGAGATGCGTCGGATGCGCTCCCAATATCAGACTGAGATTCAATCCTTGACCTCCCAGTATCAGACTCAGTTCAACACATTTCTCAATGTTGTACTCCCATTCCTACCACCTACTATGCAGACTACTCTTCAACAGCAACAACAACATCAACAACCAAACAGACACCAACAACAAGACAATCGGCAACCAACAGAGGATGAACAAGCTAATGACCAACATCAACAACATTCACCTGGATATTCAGATTATTAGATATATTATGTTATGTTATAATTCTATTGGTTGTACTGTATTTTGTTTTTAAATTTGAACCCTAAACTTTATTTATGTATGACACTTTATTTTGTTTGAATGATTAAACTTGTTTTAATTCACATAATTATGATTCATTTAATATCTTTAAACAGGATTATTATTAATATGATTTTTAATTTATTTAAAAAAAATTTAATAATACCCAAAGAATTTCCCACGGATTAAATCTGTAGGTAATGTATCATGGGATATCCAGGGTAATTTCCCACGGACTGAATCCGTGGGTAATTTCCCACGGACT